TAAATCCTCTGCAAAAGTCTAAAAGTAAATAACTATTAATTAATAAAATAAAAAAATAAAAACAAAATATTATAAAATTACCTCATCTCACTTCACATTTCGCAAACCAACCTATTCAACTTTATGTTTCGCGAAATTATTTACTTTACTTCACGTTTCATATATATACTCATTCCACAAGTCTACCTATCTTCACGTTTTGTCAACTTACCAATTTCATTTCACGTTTCGCAAACCCACTCATTTCATTTCACGCCCACGAACCAATTCACTTCACTTCATGTTTTACGAAATCATTTACCCCACCTTATGTTTTGTAAACCTATCCATTTTATTTCACGTTTGCGAACCTATTAATTTCACCTCGTGTTTGCAAACTTATTCACTTCGCATTTTGCGAATCCATTCACTTGCCACATATTTCACAGACCTATTGGCTCTACCTTATGTTTCGCGAACCCGCTTATTAACCTCACGTTTTGTAAACCTATCCACTTTTCGTTACGTTTCCAAATCCGCCTTTTTTTACAAATCCACTTATTCTATTTTAATATTTATGATATATTTCATGAAAAAGTACACTGGATAATATAAAAAATATTTATTTTTATTTATGGTATATAGTATATTAATTGATAGATATACTGTATATGCGCATTAAAATATCCGGGAATATAATATAATTTAGGGATAATTTATACGCATATAATAATTTTAGAGTCCGAAAATTTCCAAAAAGAATTACCCAAATACAGTATGTACTACCCTGTCACTTTCTATTTTAGAACTTTTGGAATTTCTGAAGTCATTTTTTTTGCGGGAATTTTTAGTAGAATGCGTTACTAGATTTCTAGAAATGTACGTGTAAAATAAATTCGGAATAAAACTCCATATTACGTGCATACATTATTCTAAATATTCACCAAAATATTGCCATCAAATAAATATTTAAATCACGAAAAAGTATGAATATAAAAGGTTCGCAAAACTTTCAGATAAAATATGGCAAAATATGGTAAATGCTCTGGATGCAATAAAAACAAGTCCCTTAAATATGGGAACGCTGACTCGTGTGCTGGTTGTTATTTTGCACAATTTCTGTCTGTTAATAGCGGGAATTCAGACATTGATAACTTAATTAAAGCAACACAGAGAAATAATATTCAATTTAAGTTAGAATGGATCTCATTTGAAGATTTTGTGGATGTCCAAACGATTGCAGAGGGTGGATTTAGTATGATATTTACCGCTGAATGGAGAAAAGGAAGAGTGAAGGGTTATTCTAAAGGAAAACTTTATCGAACAGGTCCTATAAAGGTAGTATTAAAAGTCCTTAAAGATTCTGAAAATATAAACTCGACATTTATAAAGGAGGTAAAGTAAAAAAAGTTTTTATTTAATTCGTAAACTAATGGGTTATTAAACTATGTAATTCTTTATGTAGTTGCAGAATATTACTGAAACTCAACCTAACTCCTCTATACGTAATCTTGTTCATTGTTATGGAGTATCGCAACATCCAATAACAAAAAATTATATATTTGTTATGTCTTATATAAAAAATGGATGTTTGCATGAATATTTATCCAAGTATTTTGATGATATCAAATGGATGGACTGGGGAGAAAGTAAACAATCAAAAGCAAGTCTCCTAAAAAGTCTCGTTATTGGAATTAAATGGATTCATCAAAATAAGATTATACATCGCGACATACACAGTGGAAATATATTAATACATGAAAATGATGATTCATTAATTGCTGATTTGGGGTTTAGTCGACCCGCGAATGAGGATCCAGGATTAAGTGTATACGGAATTATACCATATATTGCGCCAGAGATATTTAATAAAAATAAATTTTCATTCAGTTCTGATATCTACAGCTTAGGCATGATTATGTGGGAATTAACAACTGGGAATCGTCCTTTTGATGATCGAAGTTACGATACCCATCTTGCGTTGGAAATATGTAGAGGACTGCGTCCTAAAATTACTGAAGATACACCAGAACCGTGGGCTAATTTGATGAAAAAGTGTTGGCATCAGGATCCTTCACAGAGGCCTTCAATTAATGAAATACATCAAATAATAAATTCCTCAGAATGGGAATTTAATGAAGCATTCTACGATGCTGAAAAAAAATTACAAGAAATAAAATCTAGAAAATTGGCAAAGGGACAAAGAATCATGCTCCCTCTACATAAATCTTATAGTCAGTTATTAGATCCTGTCATAGAAACTACAAGTTATACCTTAAATTTATTTACTATGGCAGAATCATCATTAGGTAATTATAAAATTTTTTTATAAACAAAGTTAACTATTATTAACTTACGATGTCGTTTTATAAAAATTATTTATAGATTCTTTTTCTATCTGTTCTCTTGATGTTATGAATAATACGTAAGTAAACATTTTACATTTGAAAAAAAGCATTAAAGACTAATTTTACTAATCTAATATTTTATCCAGTTCCGAAATTATAAAAAGCGTCGATAGTTTAAATTATAGTAAAAATTCGTCGACTTCATTAAAGCACACCATCGATTTCTATAAAACTAGTAAGTTTTAATTTTAAATTTGATGAATAGATATTTATTATTATGCTTACATAATATTGCATGCAATAGGTCAAATAAAACGTAGAAAAGTATTTAATTATCAAGAAACAACCATATGCGAAGGTATTATACTTTATATTCAAAATTAGTTTATTACCTAATTATTGGTTATATAATTTAACGCAATTTGACTCTTACGTTAAAATATTAGAACCAAAATTAATCAAAAGCAATGGTAATTACGTTACCAATTTCGTTAATACGTTTAAAAAGCCACTCAATATTTAAACTTTTCGCATTATCAGATAAATCGGCATCGTATTCACCTAATCCCAATAAGTTTATGTTGAGCCGTGATGGGGAAGCTTTGGTCAATTATCTATGCAGAGATGTTACAATAACTAAATTAGACATAAGTAATAAAAGGTTACACCGTAATGTAATTAGAGGATTGATTGTAGGTTTAAGTAAGAATACCACCCTGACAAATATAGATCTAGGCGGGAATCAAATGGGAGAATCGGCAGGAAAAGCATTGGTCGAGGCGTTGTGCAAGAATACTACCCTGACAAATATAGATATAGGCGGGAATCAAATAGGAGAATCAGCAGGAAAAGCACTGGTCGAGGCACTATGCAAGAATACCGCCCTGACAAATTTGAATCTGGAATATAATAAGCTAGGAGAATCGGCAGGAAAGGCACTGGCCGAGGCACTATGCAAGAATACCGCCCTGACAAATATAGATATAGGTGGGAATAAAATAGGAGAATCGGCAGGAAAAGCACTGGCCGAGGCACTATGCAAGAATACCACCCTGACAAATTTGAATCTACGTAATACCTTTTTAGGAGAATCGGCAGGAAAAGCACTGGCCGAGGCACTATGCAAGAATACCACCCTGACGGAATTAAATATAGCAGATAACAAAATAGGAAAATCGGCAGGAAAAGCGCTGGCCGAGGCACTATGCAAGAATACCACCCTGACTGAGTTAAATATGGGTAGTAATCAAATAGGAGAATCGGCAGGAAAAGCACTGGCCGAGGCACTATGTAAGAATACCACCCTGACCAATTTGAATCTAAGTTATAATAATCTAGGAGAATCGGCAGGAAAAGCACTGACCGAGGCACTATGTAAGAATACCACCCTGACCAATTTGAATCTAAGTTACAATAATCTAGGAGAATCGGCAGGAAAATCACTGGCCGAGACACTATGCAAGAATACCACCCTGACAAATATAGATATACGTTGGAATCAAATAGGAGAATCGGCAGGAAAAGCACTGACCGAGGCATTAAGTAAAAATACTACTTTGACTGATTTTGAAAAATAGACATTTTTAAAATTATTATATGGAGTAAATTAAATAATTAAATATAAAAAGAAAATTTTTTTATATCACACTAATATATTATACTGTATATATAATTTTAAATTAAAGATTATGAATTTCTCTTTTCAGACATAAAATTTGTTTTATTAAAATTCCTTTCAAAAAATAAAATTATATATAAAATGAGTAGAGTTATCAATTGTTTGAACGAATTAAAATTCTTAACGATATATTACAGTAGGAATATAAACTTTTTTTATAATGTCGTTTTATATTTTTATATATTATACAAAAAATTTTCATAAAACTTGATTCGCATACTTGCCTGAAAATAACAACACCACTAAGCATGATTTTTCTTCTTATGTAAAAACGGAAACCCATTACAACAAGCAACAAAACCGAAACAACTGTATAGAATAAAGACGTGTAAGCGACCAGAAATAATATGGGAAACATAGGAATATAAGGTGATCTCTTAACAACGTTTTTTGAATTATTGCCCAAGGATTTAATGGAATTTTAGCAAAAACTTACAGCGATGCCTGATATTATATGATAAATTTTTTAGTAAAAAATCCTCAAGTAATTCCTTGTCATAAATATGAATTCAGTACAATGAATAGTTCGAAGAGAACAAATTTATGGTTATTCCCCTTACTGGCTTTTAAAAATGTTGCAAAGCTTAAGCGTATCCAATACAACCTTTCATGATAAGTTTATTGAGAAGAAAGTCGACTAGTTGGTTCTACGTACATTAGCTCACAGAAAAAAAAATCATGTTTTAAACTTTAATACTGCGCATTAATTCCAAATATTACAGACTAAAAAAAAATACGCGATTTATGATCACGTGATTATGACAATCAATAGTCAGGGCGGTAGGTGGAAAATGACAAAGTATTTCACAACTGCCACTTGGGCGGCGAGATTTTGGGAGGTGAACTTTGCACAAGCCGGGTCACACTGCCACTTGGGCGGTGAACTTGCTTGTCATTGAATGAAAAGCAAGAAACTAGGTCTTGCTTTTGTTTGATGAAAAGGCCAGTATGTTCATAACTGCCACTTGGGCGGTGAGTAAAGTGAGTTTTTCCTTCTCCAAAGAGTGTCACTTTGGCGTTGACTCTTTGGCTTTTCCGTTGTGTCTATTTAATTTACTATGCAGATATATTTGTTATCAAGAAAAATTTTATTTCTGACGTTTATTTTAGGGTGTTATCATAAATAATGTGAGAGTACGTGGATCCTAACTATATAATGTGAGTCTCTGCGTTACATTATTTGCCTTTTTCTTCGCCATCTATTGCATTATTTTGAAACGAAGAATTAACAATGTATAAAAAAATATCTTTACCCACTTTTGCCATCATATTTATTATTTTAGCAATATTTCTCTCCTCCTCAGGTCCAAGAACTTTCTTCCTTAACAAGCCCCCAAAAATCGGGTGAGTGATTTCACTTTGTGAGGTTAGTAGTAAACTTACCCAATGTCTTGTGTCGATTATTCCTAGATTTTTTGATAGTTTATCCAATTATAACAAATACTTCCGAGCTGGTGATCACTACTTCGATGCCTTGATTGTAGACTCACCTACCAAATGTATCCAACCACTTGATTTGCACGATTTATGCTGATCTTATTTATTATTATTATTTTTCTTTAAATGTTAAGTGAGGCCTTCTTCAAATCTTTATTGATCAAAAAGTACAAACTATATGTTATATACAAAATCGAATTAAAATGAGGCATATGGCAATACATATTGGCTTACCACTATATATAGATATTCAAAAAAAACCTTCAGGACAAAGAAAAAAAATAGGTGTCTATATATAGTATGTAATAAAACTTTTTGAAATTTTTTATTTATTCATTATTTAAAAATCATTGCATAGAAATTAACAAAAAATATATTAAAATGAAGCTAAAAATCTAGAGATTTTATTAATATAAAAATTAATAATTAATTCTTTCATTTTCTTTTTTAATTATTATTTTGCATCTCTTTTTTATTGAATCTATAAAATTATTTAAAACATTATTTGGAATTTTATTATATTCTTCTATCATAAACTATTCTAATTTTGAAATATTTTTAGATAATCTTAATTCTATATTTCTTTAACAATAGCTTAAAGATTTTCAATAGGATTTAAATCTGGATTATTAGAAGACCAATCTATAACTTTAGAAAAATTTTTATTAACAAATATTATAATAATTTTACTTGAATGTTTTGGATTATTATTATGTTGAAAATAAAAATTATTTCCAAGCAATTTAATAATTTCTAATTTATATTTTTGCAAAATATTAATATAAAATTTTGTATCTATAATTTTTTTAAAACAAAAAAAAAAAGTTTTTTCTTTTATATAAAACTTTCTCTATATAAAAATTTTGATGGATCTTTAAGTATTCTTCTAACTAATACAAAAATTTTGATAGGATCTTTAAGTATTCTTCTAATTAGTCTTATATTTTTATATCATTGAATAATTGTATTTTTGAATAGTTGAAATGCTGTTTCATCAGAAAACAAAATCCTTTTTCAATTATGATCAAGATATTTTTTTGCTCAAATAATACGAGCTTCTTTATAAGCAGTAATAAGTATAGGAGTTTCTAAAGATAAATCATTTTTATAACTCAATCTTACTAGATGTCTTGAAATTATTATATGAGATTAGGACACTGAAAAGTATTGAACCAATATTGAAGTAATATTGAAATAATACTAATCTATAGTAAATTTAATATATGGATTGTAATCTACTTATATAAATTTATAGTAAATTTAAGTATCAAACTGATATTGAAATGATATCAAAGTGGATTGTTAGGAGCCCTATATGAGATACTTTAATATTTATATTTAACAATTTAATTTCCAAAGTTCTTATTAAAAGTCTTGAATTATAATATAAATATTAATCAATTGCTTTTAATTTATATGCAGTAATCTTTTTAGGTTGATTTTCATCAGATTTTCTTGAATTATTTTCTTTAGAATTTAATTTTTTAAGATTGTAATAAATAGTTAATATAGTTATATCAGTTTTAAAATATATTTCATTTGCAGAAGTAATTCTATTCTTCTACAAATGTAATATTGTTTAATATTGTATATATTTTTCAAAAAATAATATTGTAAGAATAAGTTTATAAAAAAATAAAATAAGTTGAAAAATTTAATAGTATATATATAGTATATTTGTTAAGATATATTATTTATATGTTTAAAATTCCATGTGAATTGCTTTTATTTTAAAAAAGTTATTTATATTTATATCATATAAATAAAATTTCAAAAAGTTTTGTTATATAAATATAAATCCATCCACAAGATATAAGTTGGTATCTGGATAAGAAAAGATAGATTGATTATGGTTAAACTTACAGTTAGTAATAATATTAGCATGTATAAGACTGCAAATATATGGTTTGAAAATTATAATTCAATAAAAACCATGGTATTGATTATCCATTCATCTTAAAAAAAAATAATTTTTATTATATATTATATATATATAAATTCATCAAATTTTTAAACTTAAAATATATTAAATTATGATTAAGTTATTTATCAAATATTTGTATTTTATTTATTTATTCATTGCCAAATATTATAATATTATAGTTGAACTATTTGCAAATATTTAATAAATATTTATATTTTAATTTCATGTCAAGTGATATCAAATAATATAAATTCAACTTAAATTTATTTATAAAATTTAAAAATTTGATAATAATTTGACATGCTGAATAATTAAATTTTGATTAGTATGTATTAAAAAGATAATCAATATATATATAAACTTATAAAAAAAAAGCTTTTAAATAAAAACAAGTTTAAAAATTGTTAGAATTTCTTATATTTAAATTTATAAATTATTGCTTAAAATATCCAAAGTATAATACAAAATTTTAAATAATATTTATAAAACCTCAGATACAAATAAATTCAAAAAAACAAACAATTATTAAAACACTAATATAAAATAAAAAAAAGAAACAAATTCATATATTTTATCAAGTGTATATAAATTTTTTAATAAAAAATAACAAATCATAAGAAAAAAAAAATTTTCAAAAAGTATATCTTACTATTTTTAAGTTTTATCAATAAAAAATTTAATTAAAATAATCTATCATAAAATATAAATAAAAAATAAAAAGTTATAAATAAATTCAAAAAAAGTATTATAAATCAAAATTAAAAATAAAAAAAATAATTATAATATAATTATAATTAATATTTAGTCAAGATAAATTGTAGTAATAAATTATAAGTAATAATTTCAACATACTATTTTAAATAAGAATACAAGAATAAACAATTTTATTTATTTTCAAAATTATATCTAAAAATAATTTTATCAAAAACAAATATTCAAGTATAAAATCTAAAGTTTATATATAAAAATAACTTAATTATTATATATTCTATATTAATTTTTTTTTCCTCTAATCAAACTGCTAGTAACACATTTATTAATCCTTTTTGAAAAACAGTAATACAATATACCATATGATACTATATTAAAGATAAACTTTTTCTAACATAGCAAAATATCTATCAATAAGTTATTTTATAGATTTGTATATAATCCTTAAATCCTTAATATCAAGATTACCATGTTGCCCATATAATCTAGCTATTTACTGTTACTGCCTTGGGAGAGCAAATGAGAAATGTGTCAATTTAGACTTGCAGTAAACAGTGTGTTTCTATAAAATACAAGAAAATAAAAACAGAATAAAGAAAAAGAAAAGAAAAAATTCAAAGAAATATTAACAGAAATCAAAAGAAAGTGAAAATTCACAATTTAGTATATTGAAACTTTCAATCCCTCACCTGACAGATTTCAAAACCACTGATAAAAATAATATTCAGCTCTCAATGATTTAATTTATTTAATATATGTTCTGTTTTAAACACTATCAAATAAATTAACATGAATAATTGAAT